TTTTTTTACGATGACGCAGTTCTACGAAAAATCCGAGAAAAAGTGAGCGCACTGCTTATGATATCATCTTATCAGAGAATTAATATCGGAGTGGCATAGTATTTTTGTTTTTGAGATATTTTCAATTTTCCGATCCTTCTTTTGGTTTTCCATTTTTGATAACCACAGCTTGGAACCGAGAAATCTGAAAAAATTCTATAATATGCGAATTAATGTCTGAAGTAAGTCACATTTTTTTTAAAATTTTAAAAAGTCACCCCAGATCTGATTTACCCTGTAACTGTACTTATTCATAAAATAGTACAAATTTCATTACACATAATTCCTTAATTTTATTAATTTACTTTTAAATAAATTTTTATTAATACTAATTAATTACAAATTTTATTAAGTAATTACAAATCAGAGAAGTTCATTTAAAAATAGCTTAATGAGGCACGCAAAAGCTCGTCAATTTTATTAGCAAACAGTTGAATATTTTGAACGATTAGCTATTACAATCTCCTTCGAGTGCCTGACGATGCTTCTTACATAACCTAATCCCTGAAATAATATCCTCATAGTCCTCCATTTTCAGCATCGAAGCATAGTCTCCGGTTTAATCCTGAAACAGTCGCATGAGGTGTCACCTAGCCGTCAATAGCTGCACTAGCTATCAATTAAGAATGACGGTAGCGTGATTTTAAACCTTCTCGGTATTATTTTTACGTATCTCTTAGAATGTCACACACCCCGCGCAACTTTTCACGTAACTTCAACCGAAGTTACTTGCTCGGTCCAAGGTTAAAAAAGCCGAAATTCGTCTCAAGTTGGAAAATTAGAAAATGTGGTTTTTCGGTGTCGCAACCGCGACGATTGCCATACCGCGCAAAGGTCCGGTTTCCGTGGATCCGTCCCAGGTGTCGCTGCAGCTTCGCAACTCGTCCGTGTAATCCGTGGGACGAGCGGGTGCAACAGCGTGGGCAGAAGCGACGCGTCGTTTGCATAATCCGGCTCGTCGAGCAATTAAGTCGTTCAGCGTTGTTCGCGAGCAGCGTGCTCGGAACTTCTCCGGCAACGTTTCTTGGCTTGGGACGTCTCGGAGAAACAAAGGTAAACGTTATTGTCTCCGTATTCAACGATCGTCGCGGTCGATCGAATCTTTCTACCAATCGCTGCGCGCTGCTTGAAATATTTAACCAGTTAGCTGTGGCGCCTGCTTTTCGGAGCGCGCGTCTATGCGTGTCGCGAGAATCAAGCGACGACGAGTATACTCGTCGAATACAGAGCAAGCGTCGTTGTAAAAATATTAGATCGAGAGGACGGTTTTATTTTATAAAGTTAACAATTTTATTAATAATATTATTATATCATTATTATATATATATATATATATATATATATTACTAATATATATATTATATTAATGACCTCAGGAATCCATAATTTCCCGGAAGTAACGCAGTTTTGGGATATCATCATGTATGAATCACCCCTTTCCGGGTGTTAACGTAATTATGGGGATACCCTGTATGATTAGTACAACTCTGCTTAGAAATTAAGAAAAAAAAAGAAGAAGTATCGTAAGATAATAGTAATAATAATAGCAATAATAGTAATGACGATGGTCGATATTGAGGAATGATTAAATAATAAATTTAAATATAATAGCAAATTTAAATAATAAATCTAAAATTTAATAAAAATTCCGGGAACTTTCTGCTCGAATAAAGAACTCGCTAACAAAATATTCCGGCTTGGTCTGCGAATCGTTTTTACAAGCGTAATGTAATATGGACATTGATACGCGTCCCGGATGCATATACCCGAAATTTCATTGATTTCGATCGCAATTGAAAATTCGATTTCGATCCGCGTTCCGACGGCGCATTAGCCCGGCGCGTGCGCGTCGCGCAACACAACGGTTCGGAATTACACGTTCAGGCGACGGAGAGCTCGTTACTCGCATACGAGGGTCGAATAAAATAAATATACATACCCTGGCCAACGGGCGTCGCGGCCGCGCTCGCGTTCGCGTGCGCGCGCGCGCGTGTTTGCTCGGCGCTGGGGCGTTCAAGATACAGGATGAAATATTAACGCTTGGACCGCGTCGGTTCGCCGAACCACCGCCGCCACCGCCGCCGCCGACGTCGTCGTCGCCCGTATGTCGCGTCGACGACGCTCTCGGGTCCACCCCGGTTTATCCATCGCCGATTAAATTAAGATCGTACGCACGTGTTCGACACGCAACGGTTTCGCGAACAGCTCGCCGAGATGTTCGTGTTCGGATCGTCGTGAAGTAAACGGCTGCACGCGAATCGTTCTTTTTCTATCCTCCTCATGGGACTCGTCTCGTCCCACTCGATTTCCCGGCGACCCCTTGCATTCCCGGCGTACCGTATTTTTAAATTCGGAGCATCATTCTCGTATACATCCGCCATCCATTATAACTCGGTAACCGGGCCGGAGGCAGGGAAGACGTTCGAATGAGATGCTAGTCAAATAAATGTTCGAATGAAATGCTAGTCAAATAAATGTACGAATATAGCGGCGTTCGTGGAAACTACTTCGCCGTGCTGTATATTTCGGCGGGCGATTTGAAATCGAATTATAGATTAAAAATAAATTAAATTATAAAATATATTTACTTAATATATATATTAAGTAAATATATATATAGATTAATAAATATTATATATTATCTATATATCTATATATTATATATAGATTAAAAATAAATTAAATTATAAAATATATATATATATAAACCCGCCATTTCCGGATTGCGAGACATTTTTTGGACGCTCTGTATACAATTTCCAACAATTTTGTTAGCGATTTTAAGTGACAGCCACTGTACCTACTAGTTTGAGGTTATGTCGATCGCTAGGATCCGTAACGAACTTCAAGTAAGGAAATCTAAGTAATAATACCGTCGGCCAGAAACGGTATAACAAGCGAATGCGTAACTGGGGTTAGGTTAGAGTCGCGAGGACGAGGGAGCAGCGTCGTCGCAGCTTGCGAGCGAAAGCTTCCCGACCTCCGGCGGGATAGGGGCCGAATCGAATCTCCACCCACCTCTAAATAAACGGTTCTCGCCGGTTGAACCCTCGCGCGCAAAGTTTATAAAGCGGAAAATACGTCTGTGTTTACCGTAGTCGGGCTCCGAGTTTAGATCGGTCCGCGGACCGGCACCGGGAGCACTGACCAAAAGACAACGACGCCCATTTTCTAAACATAGCGACCGGTTTTTCGCCATCGAACAAAGCCTTTTATTTATTTCCCGCGAACATTCGTGCAGCAGATCGGAACAGGGTCCTCTAGGATCATCGTTAGGATCGACGAAGACTTTTCGTTACTTACAGTAATTTGTTGACAACATTTTGCTAATTTACAATGTATCGTACAATAAATAATCTGAACTCGTCTGCAACAATTGAACGTTACAAAGAAGAATACTTTGTACAGAATGTCCAAGCAAGGCCTCCTGTTGTCACTGAAAATTTTATTTATTTATGAGGAAGATGGATAGATGAAATGCGAAACAGGGAGAACGTTTATTAAGAAAATAAATAAATGTATAGACGGTTACGGTACCCGAATCGTTTCCATTTTGCATAAAAATCCGCCAGCGACATGCAAATTTAATTGACTATTTCATAGCTCGTTAAAGTATTACAGTGCATAGTTTGTTATAGAAAATGTAATATTACATGATGTATAATTTTTATGAATTGTTAAGATAAATAGCAAGCAATAGCAAGCTTTGGTTTCTACACTTATACCAAGGTTTAAAAATTCCTAACTACTCTGTGATCATAGTGATTTTAACAACGATACTTATTTTATGATAGTTATTGTTATATACCTATTCGCAAACATTATAATAACCGCCTATGTCCTATAAGACTGATCTAGGTTTATAAAGACCTAATAAACAATAAAAGAGAAATACTTGAATTTTGTGAACACGCCCTTCGCGCAGTTGGTGACTTATTTAACGCGAGATTCCATGAACGAATAAGCGACTTCCGGCTTTAACCTACAAATGCGAGGAGGGCTCTTCCCTCCTCCCACATCGTCAACTTAGTTGGAACTTGGCGTCGTCGGATCCCATGGAATCAGAGAAGTTTCAAAGAGGCGTAGGAGAGCCTCCTGACGACTCTAACGCGGGCCACAAGGATGTACTCTCTCTCGGACACTTTCCGGCCATGATGAATATGTATTCAGAGAAACCCTTTTCGGTTTCGGCACAGCTTACTTTGGGGGCACATTTACTGCCGTTTATGCAGTACCTCGGGCTGTTTGCCCGCACACCTCCAATTCGTAAATGAAAGGAACGAGACGACGCGAAGCGCTACCCTGCGAATAGTCAAATCGGATAAATTGCGCGCGCGCGCGCGCGCCATCACGTGTAATGGGATTATCCGTTTAGGGCGCTGCGAAAATTTCGCTCGACTCCTATTATGTACAGGGTGTCCCAAAAATTTCTCGCAATCCGGAAATGGCGGGTTCCTCGGGTCATTTGAAGCAACTTCTTCCTTTACAAAAATTTTCTCCGAGGCACCGTTAACGAGTTATCAACGAAAAACAGTGACCAATAAGAATCGAGAGCACGGCTGACGCGTGGCGGCCCAGCCAACCAGCGCGCGAAGCACGGTTCCCGCTCATTGGCTCGGTCGCCTCGCGCCAGTCAAGCTCGCCTCTCATTGGTCAACTGTTTTTCATTAATAACTCGTTAACGGTGCCTCGGAGAACATTTTTGTAAAGAAAGAATCCGTCATTTCCGGATCGCGAGACATTTTTGGGACACCCTGTATATTTATCTTCTCTGTCGTAACGACGGCTTCCTTCCGTGGGTTAAGAGGATGTTTGGGAGCTTGAATATAGTCTTGTTTACGACTTAGAGAGGTTAACATTGCAGATTCCTCTCTGGTTATCCTTGGCATTATTATCGCGGATGCAGGTTCCATTGTACATTTATATAGCGTTCTTAAATGTACGGAGAAACAACACGCGACAACGGGGCGTCTTCCGACTTTATTGGCATCTAAAGTAGTAAAACTTTTGTAGGAGAAAATGGAGTCCCGACCGATTGGATAAATAGGATTGGGGCGGGGAGGGGGGGGGCTCTCTTCTGCTGGGGGATTCGAACCCGGGTCTTCCGCTTGACGGGCGACTGCCTTAAGCAATTAAGCTATCCAGACTGACCGACGACACATTCTCTCCCAGTCCTCATAAATCGTTGATCTTCTTTGCGTGTTCACAGTTGTAATAAAAATAGAACCTTTCCAAGGTTACTCGAAGTTTCCGAACGGATATCATTGTAATGCGTACGCGTGTCTCCAAGATACAAGGTTCACCGATGCGTTGACGTTTTCCTAATGGAAAATGGAGCACACAACTTTCGAGTGATTGTATAATAATCATAATTAGTAATTTCGAATAATCATTTGCACTCGGGCCATTTTTCTCTCGGGCGAATCAGCGACTCGAGACGATTTTTCGTATATTTGGTGAACTTCTCACAGCTGACCTAAAATATTTTCACACACAAATTAACTATTGAATTATATTTTTTTATTATTTTATTATATTATTTTGATTATTTTATCTTCTATTATATTTAGCTATAGGAGTAACTTTAGTACCTTCAATTAAAACTTTTATTTAATTAAAGAAGGTATAAATAAGTTCTTTCTTTATGAGATGTCTGCGTACCTTAACCTATAGTTGTACCTATACCTAATTTATAAAGTGCTACAGCGAGAGTATCTTGATCCTAGAAATTGTAGCTGTGTGTATACATTTAAAAGAGAATGGGTTATGTCAACCTTAACGCGCAGTAATCGTAACGTTCGCAGCATTAATTATGTATTATAGATAACCTAAATAATATAAATAAATAGTTTCTTATAACCTATAATACATAACCTAAATAATATAAATAAATAGTTTCTTTACGTCACGCTTTTTACTAAAATTTGTGTTCTTGAAGATCCAACATTTTAAGAAAGGTCAATATTCGAGTTAATGAATAACAAGTATAGCTCGAGTTGCCAATTTATTGGCACGAAAGATCTTATTTTCTTCGTCGAAGTTCGCCTTCATTTATAAACCGCAGTATAATATCCTGCACATAAATAACCTAGACTTACCCTATTCCCGTCAGAACGCTCTCAATCGAATTACATTTTCGGTCAGTATCGAACGCTGCAATCGCGTACGCGTATCGCAACGCGCGCGTATTCTCGTGTGAAACGGTTCCGACGGCGACCGAGAACGACAAACGAGGGCGCGCATGCGCCGCCAACTAAATTATAATGATTTCCCCGCGCGGCGCCGGTTGTTGTTTCACGGGAACCGATTTCTACGCGAATACGAAGCCGCCCGGCGCGCGTCGTGAATACGAAACAAATCCTCGGAGTCGCGGCGAACGGTCGCGCAATGATCTAAATCTAAACGGTAGACTTAAACGGCCGAAAGTGTGTAATTATCTGTGAACCAACTTTTTTATCTTTCACGCAACGGTCAAGGTTATGTCAAGGTTATGTCAAGTTATTATAGGTTATTGGATCTGTCCTGATCTAAGCTGTCGCGATACGATGACAGAAATATGTGATTCCATTTGGAAAAACATCGATGACCTTGAAATCTCTAAAAATATAACCTTCGAACAGAAATCGACTCCACTGCGAGATGTGGCCCTTCGAACCATACAATCTGTTCCTCTAGCATTTTTTAGTATCGATAATGATAACAGAGATATAATGATAAGAACTTGCGAGTACGTTGCTGTATACAAAATAATTTTCAATTTAATTAAATTAATGATCATAGGAAAATTTTTTAGAATACGATGATTCTGTATCTAGCTTATGAGGTGATTCTACTTGAAAAATATGTGATAAATAAATACGTGATACAACAATTTTCTTTTGTACGAAGCTGTAATTAAGTTTAGCTCACGACCACTCGATGATTCGCATGAACAAGATTCGGGGGGATTTGGTAATTAACGGAGCGGCCCGAATATCGTGTCGAACGACGCGGTGCCGTCGCGCCGGCTACGAGAGGCTTATTGAAAGCTTCGCTGTTTTATGGGCCACCTGTTTGCCTGGCCGCCGCACCCCTTCGCCACCTTTTACCCGCTTCTCTCGTAGTTGCTTCTCCTCGAGTTTGTCCGCGAGTTTCGGCAGGTCGAGAGCGCGTCTCGCTTTTTTCCCCCCCACTCCGCCCCGAAAGCCGCGCTGCGAGCTCGGTTAACCTTTCACTGTTCCTCCAAGCACTTTAGTCATTGTCCAAAATAATTGTCATCTAAAGAAAATGCCTCTATCGTCTAAAAAAAAATTCAAGTCATTTAGTTTAATTTTGAAAAATTCATTGCTTTTCAAAGTCTCTAACAGACATTAAAATTCAAATATCTTCCAAACCAATGATTTCTCATAACAAATTTTTCTTTCAATGTCATCCGAAGGTCATCGTGTAGCAGATCGTTGAATTCGTCTCGACGTCGCCTACGATATCGTCGTGTTAAAATAACCTGGTTTCGTTTAAAAATATAACGGTGATCTTGTTTTTTTATCGAACATCAATTTGTTTTCAAATTCAAACAATTGCGATTTCTTGTCGGTTAAATATCGATCAACTTTGATAGGAGATATTTTTTTGTCAGACTGGAAGGAAGTCGCTGAAAAATCGCGAGGAATGATTTGTGACTCACCCTGTATATGCGCGAGTTTCGGCAGGTCGAGAGCGCGGTTTTTTCTATCCCCCCACTCTGCTCCCTAAAAAGCGCTGCGAGCTCGGTTAACCGTTTCACTGTTCCAAAGGATCAACCGGATACCAGAAAGCCTATCAACTCCGTCGCGTTAACGCCGCGTTCTCGTTCTTTGTTTCGACCATTTTCACTCGCCGTTTCAGCTGTAAATTCGAAATAGTTTTTCCGATTTCCATTTTATTATTGCACACAATAATAAATGGTATGAACGTCTATTTGTACGTATAAAATAAATACGCGTCGAAATAAATTAGTAAATGAGGTAAATTGATATAATATATATAAGATAGATAATATGATAAACAAAGTATATAATTTTATTTCAGTTTAATGCTTTTGTTATTTCATAGTCAAAGTGCCCTGTCATTAACTTACAATAATAAATAATAATAAATACTAAATAATAAAATTTTAATTATAATTAAATTAATACTTATAATAATAATTATATATATTAATAATAATTATTATTATAATAATAATATAATAATAATTATAATTAAAATATTACTAAAATAATAAATAATAATAAATAATAAATACACATTAGCTTACAATAATAAATAATAGACGTTCACACCGACCCGCAACCGGTAAATGAACAAATTTCTGCAACTTTGGGAATACATAGATGCGTATTACGCAAGCTTCTTTTCATACGCAAATTCACTTAAAGGGATGGACATAACCTTCAAATACTCTGTTTTCTTTATTATGCTACTTTTTCCCATAATTTGCAAACTGTACAAGATAGAAAAGATTATTAATTTGAACGAAAAACAGATTATGTGGTATGCGATTTATTAATCGTTTAAATAGTTGGAAAGAATTATAAACAAATGATCGATATTTTTCGTATTAATTTTTATTTATTTTCTTTTATTTTCGTACTTATTTTTTTCGTTTATTATTCTACAATACAAACGCATAAGAAAATAACAATCGGACATACAAAACTATAAAACAACGAACGTCTGTTTTAAATGCGACTAAATGTTAACCTAGGTTAGGTTAGGTTAGTCATTTTGAGCGAGCCGGTTGCCCACGTTTATCCGGCTGTGCGGCCAGAAAATAGGTTGATATCACGGCCGAATGAACAAAATTATAAATTCTGGTCATAATGTCGAAAGGTCTAGGGTCAGTTTTATAAGCGTCTATTCTGAATAACAGCCGGCTGCGTACTGGACGCGGATTAATATTAAAGTTTATAAGGTCCGGTAAAATTGGGCAATGAATGAGAATATAATAGTATATGAAAAAATTAAATAAAGCGTTCGACGCACTTGTTACATGTGCAAAAGAAAAATGAAATTTTGTGTGGTTATTAACATTTATTTGCACATATTGAATGAATGAATATAATTTTTAATATTAACAATAAAATAAGGTAGTAGCTCCGACATAATACAATGAAGAAATTAAATAAATTATTAAAAAACAAAATAAAATCTTATGCGGACAAAATGATGGGGCACTTTGTTTATGAAAAAACAAAAGCATTAAAATGAAATAAAATTACACAGTTTGTTTATCATATTATCTATCTTATATATATTATATCAATTTCCCTCATTTACTAATTTATTTCGACGCGTATTTATTTTATACGTACAAACAGACGTTCACACCAAAAAAAACCTTGAGAGACGCCTTATCATTTTGTCCACCAGAGCGCGCTACATGGTGCGTTAGCTTCGCAACCACGTATTCTCGGGCACCGAAACTCCGGGATAAATAATAAAACGACTACTTCCCGGCGACCTTGGCGCCGCGATACGCGTAAACGCGGCATTAAAATGTCGGGCGAGAAATCGTCGAACCGGAGAAAGCCCCGAGGTGGTGGCGTGACAATGTTTTCGCGTCTAAAATTATGCGCCTAACGGAAGGTTAAATACACGCACGCTTGGCGTTCAAAGGTGTCGCGATATGGGGTCTCGGTTAGGGGTAAACAGCGCGCGATCGGCGCGGAGGAAAAAGGAAGAAGGTGAGCCGAGTGAAATGGAACGGAACATCTCCCGGTCATCGGGCGGCTGGTAAAGGTCAGGAAAAGATGGTGTGTATACGTATAGCCGAGGACGAGTAGTTTGTCATGTTCCACGCGCAGACACCCTCGAAAAGCATGGCAAGGAAACGAGTCTCGGTCTCGTGCAACCAATTCACCGTCCCCCTACGAGTCGCATAGGGTAATGCAATATAACATGTGGAAGAGGGTGTCTCCTAGCAACCCTATGTCGTCTTCTCACCCCATTCTCTAAGCTTCGCCCTAAAACACCCTAAATCCGTTGCACGCCGCTCGACTCCCGTCGACGCGACGCGACGCTCACGGAAACTTTCGTTTGAGTTTTCACGGCTACCTCTCCCACTACCCCCTCTCCTCCCACCGCCGCCGCGAGCGACGACGCGCGTGTCCCCTGCGCCTTTTATCGTTTCTCGGATCCAGGCGGACGATCGACCTTTTATATAGCACTTTCGCTGGACGGTAAACGGACGGCGCGACCGCCGCTTGCAAATACGCGGATATACGACCGCTGGAACGGAAAGGAAAGTCCGGGGGCAACCTTTCGAACTTTTTTTGACGTCGTCGTTGACCTTATAGTGATTTTTAAAGGACAGAAGTGAGTCGTGAAGCTGTTCTGAATTTTCTGTTCGAACAACGTTCGATGCGAGTCCCATTTCTCTGCAATTTGGACGGTTACAATCCTGTTTTATACATATCTGTCTGTCTCTCTCTCTCTCTCCTCTCTCCCTTTATCTTTCTTTCTCTCTCTCCTTTCTTTGTCTCTTCATCTTTTTTTCTCTCTCTCCTTTCTCTCTCTCGCGCGCGCTTTTGCACTCGCGCTCTCTTACTCTTGCGCTGTCTCTCTCGCGCTCTCTTACTCTCGCTCCCTTACTCTCTCTCTCTCTCTCTCTCTCTCTCTCTCTGTCTCGCGCTTTTGCACTCGCGCTCTCTTACTCTCGCACTGTCTCTCTCGCGCTCTCTCTGCCTCGCGCTCTTACTCTCGCGCTCTCTCTCTCTCTCTCTCTCTCTCTCTCTCTCTCTCTGGATAAAAGTTCATATTTTCCTCATAAACACCACGAAAACATTTATTTCTTGCGGAAACTTATGTCACGTACTATTGAACAAATTAAATTGTCAAACAAAAACTTGTTGATATTTGCAGACATTCTCTTTGCAATACATTCCTGGAAAAGTTTCACGAGCAGGTTAACACTTGTAGTGTCGACTGGAACGAAAAAGTATAATACGAATANCTCTCTCTCTCTCTCTCTCTCTCTCTCTCTCTCTCTCTCTCTCTGGATAAAAGTTCATATTTTCCTCATAAACACCACGAAAACATTTATTTCTTGCGGAAACTTATGTCACGTACTATTGAACAAATTAAATTGTCAAACAAAAACTTGTTGATATTTGCAGACATTCTCTTTGCAATACATTCCTGGAAAAGTTTCACGAGCAGGTTAACACTTGTAGTGTCGACTGGAACGAAAAAGTATAATACGAATATTATGCAGATTATATTGCATGCATTTACGTTATTTTTTATTTTTTACACAACATCTACGTT